ACATAATTGATCATAACATCTTGCTATCAAAATTACTTTCTTGTGTAATTCATTGTATCACCCTAGACCAAATAAACTCGCACCTTAAACATCTTTATACCATATTGTAGAAATCTATACTGGCACGAAAGGACATTATTTACTTATCTTTCCAATTCTTTACCAATTGAATATGGAGTCCCACAAGGTTTGATCTAAGGTTCTATCCTCTTTCTGTAATATGTGAACAATATACCCTTGTCTATTAAAAACAGAAGAATAGTTTTGCTGACGACGCGAATGTTCTTTGCAAAAAGGAAACAATAAATAGTATGATTTCACAAGTTTCAAATTGATTTTGTAACAACCAAACAGAGGAAAACAGTTTCAATGCATTTTTGCATTACAAATCAGCAATCGCATGCTCCATTGAAAATGAACCTTATGGAATTAGCTGATGTCAAGGTAAGAAAATTTCTAGGTCTCCCGATACAGTCAAACCTCAAATGGAATGTATATTTAACAGAATTAAACACTAAATTAAGTTCAGAATTCTTTCAAATTCTCAGCCTACACGAAACTTGTTACATTCATTTGGCAAACGTGCATCCCTACCTGAGATATGGCATGATATTCTCAGGAATCTCTCATGCAGTACCCAAACCTTTAGATTACGTAAGAAAATTATTTAAATAATGAACAAATGCCTTTAGCATGATCATTTGCAAGCCTCTCTTTATTGAGCTTGGAATCTTACCATTGCCTTGCCTACTTATTTACGAATCTGTAATATTTGTCCCAACAGACTTACTTAATGGTGGGATAATATTTTCATGCAATACTAATATTTATGATTACAACACGTCATAGAAATCATATTCATCAAGTTTCAGTATCAACAGCTCACTACCAGAAATACCCATACAATACATGTACATTACTATACAAAACATTGCCTGATGACATTAAACAACTGATGTCTGTACAAAACATTTAAGGTAAAAATAGAATTTTTCTGCTGCGTAACTGTTTCTATACAATTAGAGATTACACTGATCATCAAAAAGGAAAATAATGTTTATTGTAATAAAAGTGATATATAATGAATTAGTTTACAATTGTATTGTAAAATGTTTTTTAAAAAATACTTAATAAGCTTGTAACAACTAATGTACTTTAGCTTCTGAGTCAATGACCCTTATCTCGATAAGGTTTTTGTCGTTTCTGGATGTAAGTGGATGGCCTCTTGTTTTGTTTCTAGATGTAAATGTAGCTACACTATGCGCATATTTTGTTGAACTCTCCTTTTGCTTGTATTGGTAGGAGTAGAGAGGAAAGGGCATATTTTGTTAGCAATGCAAAAAATAAAATCTGCAGTTTGCTTACCATTGCAAATAAATTTTCTATAACTCCAGAACAAATATGTCTAGTTTTTCAAATGTCGCGCTTTTTTAAAATTATATTTTTATTTATATATTTATCTGTAACTTTTACTCATCTTTTAACTATTTATAGTTAAAGTGATGGAAAGGATTCTGGAACTCAAGAAAAGTGTGCAGATTGATTATCTTCTTCCCCATACGTCACATACAGTTTTTACCGCTTTTTGAGTAAATATATCTAAATCTAAAATTCACATATTAGAATAATATTTACTTTCATCATTTTGAAGATCGAGTAAGGTAGTATCATGTCAGTTGAAGCTACTGAATTACTTTTTTCCTTGAAGTTTTGAGAGTCACCAGAATTAGCAATACAAACAGTTCTACAAAGATTTTGTTTTTGTGCATGAAAAAGCATTATATTAGCCAAGTCACTCAAAAAATATTGGATAAAATGAATACACGTACATTGCCATGGCGTGAAAGCAAAGCTTGACAATCTGAAGTGAATAGTAAAGCAAATAATGCAGTAATTCAAAATTACAACTAGACTACGCAATTACTTGAGCAGTTCCACCTTATTTTACATAATGACGAAGAAAATGTCAATTTCACAGAAAGACTGCTAAAACAACAGTTTATAGTGGAAAGGACATGCCCACAAATTATGCAATTTTCCACAAGATGATGTTCTATTATATTAATTTGAACATCTCAGTATGTTTACTTATTTTCCACAGAACTTCAACTTGTATGTAAGTAGTAGTCAGGTTTAATTCTTAACTACAGTCTAGGCAGCTCACTTCATTAAGTAGTCATAAGATTTGAGGAAAAATGCATTATATTGTTGCTCAATTGTTTCCCCAACTTCATTTGCTTTTCTGTACACCCACACAAGCAATTGAAATGATTAAATAAAGTAAGCCAAGAGGTTAAAATAAATAATAATTTACTACCATCCACAAAAATAGGTCAAGTCTGATTTTTCAATAGAGCTACTGAAATCTCAAAATTTATAAATAAAAATAAATGTTTTTCAACCTCTCAAGACAAGCACTCTAATTTGTATCCCTACCCCAATAAATATTTTTTTTTTACTTTTATATGTTTTGTACAAGAGCAAAATACATTGTATTCAATGGCAGAAATGCCATTTGCATAGAGACTTAATTTTTCCAGAATTACAGATACACATTTCTTCGAAACCTCTCATGGTTAAGTTGAGAATATTTTTGTGATGTATTAGTAGAAAACAATTGTATAATAATATAACCATACTGTCCAAATAATATGAGAAAGTATGTTATTTCTAAAGCAATTGTCAGCATTCCCAAATTATTTCTATAAAAGAAAATAATCCTCTTATGACTTAACATGAACTCTCTTATTCTGGCAGTTATTTTACAGGTGTTTTTTTGAACCCTGGAATTCATATATAGACTACATGTGTAGCCCAACTAATTTATACACACAACCTCTTATCACGTTTGGATTGGTGGAGCTGATAACATGTCTAGTCTACTCTTGAGCTTTTCATAGCAAGCACACTAATGTCAGAGTTTAAAAATCATTGGGCAACTGTAGGCCATGCAAGTACTACTATTATGGGTGATAGGAAGTTTGCTATATAGAATATTCAAAAGATGATATACTATTGTATGTAACATGTAATAAGAAAATATTTATAAAATTGTAATAACCATAATCATCATAAAATATAATAAAATGTACAGTTATTGCTATTGTTTTCATTGTTATATTATAATTACTATGATTGTCTAAAATTAATTTAAATTACATTGTATTAATATTCCTAAATGTAATATGTAAATTATAGTGTTCTGACACTAGCTTGTATAAACCTACCTGCAGAAATAATTCATCTATCTATCATGCTCTGAAAGTAACGAATGCTACTTTCTTTTTAAACAAACCAATAGTTTTGTAAAAAACTTGTATTTAACTAGTAAATTAAATTTCCAAATATAAAGAACCAAAAACCCACAGCGTAATTCAGCAAACACAACATTAATAGAACAGTCTCAGTAATATTAGAATGTCAACTATCATCACATCTATCTTCAGACCTCAAAATTTCTTCGACATGTATTTCATTACGATGGCGCTGCCAAGACACCTTTTTCACCTTTCAATTCCATTTGTTTTCTATCTTCTAAAATCAACTAAATACTTTTAGCAGTTTTACACCACCATGCAACTGTAACTTATCAGCTAAACTTTTATATTAATTTATTATGCCAATGAACTAATTAGTTTGAAGAAGAAAGAATTCATGAGAGAGTATTTTTTAATTTCCAGAAATTAATTTTGTTTACAGGACATACCCAAATCTTCACACAATTGAAAAACACTCTTCAAAAGAAAGTATTAATAAATTAATGAAATTCCTTAAGAATTTATTAAGTCAATTCTAAATAATTACATGTAACATTCCCTGAACTAAAACCCTTCATGGTTCAAGTTTAATTTACAAGTACATACTGCACAACATTAATGTAACAATACAATGGATATTTATAATATTCTTCTACCCTTCTAAACTATTTTTAGAGATACTTACCTGAAATTCTTACCGTCATTTAACTTTGTTTTTGAACTCTGTTACGCTACATTCACACATTCATTTTTAACTCGATCAACAATATCACCTGATACCCATCTTTTTAAAAATAGTTTTATAAATGTTTGTATTAGGTTTTAAATAATATTATTCTAAATTACTTCAAATCATTTGTTTCAAGCAACGGAGGAAAAAAAAAAAAAAGGAATTAATCTCCAAGGCAAATTTTGTTTCACTCTTCAAAAAATCTTATTATAAAGGGCAATAATCCCACTGAACTAATACTTTTTAAGCCCAGAAATCCAATACACCACAAAATTAAGAAGTTTACTGTTCAACACAAGTGAATTATTAAATTACAATTTTTCACATATACAGTTTGTTTTTTATTTTTATCTGTTACTACTAACACAACTTTGGTCTTACATTATAACTTAATACCTTTATTGTACAGTCCAAAAATTAGCCTTGCAATGAATTTCAAAGTGAACATTAACTGATTCCAAATGGATATTGTTTATTGTAAAAAAATGAAAAGCAGTAACACTAAATGCACTGTAGAATGAGCTTAAATAAACACTTCTGTACTATTGCTTATAAATATGTAGGTAACTGAACTGATGTTGCATGTAAACTCATAACTTTCAATTTGTAATATTGACAAAAATTCAGCATAATTATTTACTGGGACAGATTTCAAATTCATAAAATAAAAAGTTAATTGTATAAAAAGTAAATATTTCCCAAATTCCTAATTTTCATGCAGAAGTTCACTCCGGTTTATAAAGATGGGAAATCATCTTCCCGATGAACACACTCATTAAAGGGTAACTGAAGACATTAGTTTAATCTAATAATACAGCATTTACAAATAAAATAAAAAAATACAAAATCTAACTATGAATTCTTACAAATGCTTGCTAAATAGATTGGAAACATTTGACCCCAATATGGCTTCCTCAAAACACCAAGGCAAATAATAAATAAAATTCCCTTCCAATAACTCTTTTTCTTATATTTTACAAACCCAAAGCTATGAGCACATTGAAGAAATTTTACCTTTTAGCTGAAGTACTGAGTGCCTTGGACATTTTTGGATTTGGCTTAGTGTCTTTGTTCTCAGTCTTATTGTCAGTCAGTGAAGCAGTTCCTCGACCCCGCCCTGCACCACTGGAACCTGCCCCTGACATTATCCTGAAACATACAATACTACAAAGATTATAGACCAATACAGTAGTAAAATACCATACAATAACTGTCAAAGATGAACACACTCAAGGACATGAATGTCTGAAATTCAAAGAGTTCCTTAGCCCGCACAACACGCTTTCAAGTAGTGAAATACGTACAGTATACACAAAATATTTCCGTCTTTTCAATGTAATTTATTGTAAGAGCTAGCGGTTATTTCTACGCTCTAATAATTGTGTTTTCTTGACATATCGAGTAGCAGAATGTCCGCCATTTTGTAGTTCTTAGTCACAAAAATGCTAGTAATCTTATTGCAAGTCTTTCTGTTCAACTTATTTTGATACTTCGAAGTTCAAACAATCCCCAACACATCTCTCAAGTCAAATAGAAGTCGGAAAATCTGATTTCCTAGTATGTTACAGAGCACTGTGTATGCCCTCTATTGTTCCTCGGGCACTAACTTGCAACACACCGTCTAACTTATTTTCTTTCTGGCATTATCGTGCTGAATCTGTACCTATAATCCTTAAAGAGAATTTTAAACAAATCATAGCCCATACAATGGACACTGAAAAATAGGCATTATAATACTCATGCATGTACAACAAAATAGATAACCCACAGGCGAAAATGTGCGGGGATTTTTAATCCATCTCTCCGACCACTACCACTTCCAAGTAGACTACCAACAGATCAGTAAATTCACAAACACAAAAACAATGAAGGTCATTTTTTATCAAATACCACAAATATATCAGAAATGTCATTCTTATATTCATACCGGCTTCTTGATGGTGTTGTAACTCGCACCTAAGCAAAGCAGGGGTGCTGGCTAATAACAGGAATCGCCATCACCCATGCACAATGGCATTCGGGTTCATTCGTGATGTACGGACAGCAACGATCTTCACTGCCCGTTGGATTGTTTATGACCGACTGGGCTGAGGTGACGGCGTCCGATTGCTCTATAAAAATAGTGAATATAGAAATTTAAAATTACATGTTCAACAAGGCTCTCACATTCTTACTTTAGTGTGTCGATCTGATATTGTTTTTTTGCCAATAATGTACAATATATTTCGTTACTTGATTATATCGACCTGATCATCTGAATGGGTGTTTCATGTCTCATGAGACCCCTCTTAAAAGTCCCTGCTCCTGTCATCATTTAAAGCAGATTCTTACTAGGGAGTGTACCAAAACGAAATTAAAAGTATTTAATAATTATGAATGAATTATCCCTTTCCTTAATCACATCCATTTACTTTACCACTTAAACTGTATCGTTCTCCGTTTTTCCTGGAATACAAAGAAAGAAAAGCAACTAATAAAGCTTTCTTCCAGATATTTAGTATTTCACAAGCTACTCTTGCTCTTAACTTACGTGGATGACATATCTCCCTTAGAATTACATAAAACAAATGTCTGATAAGGTTCGAGGTCGAGGTAATCACGACACTTGATTCCACTATCAATATTTCAAATTAACCTACAAGCTTTAGAGATAATTCTTTTGATTTATCTTCAGTATCCGAAATTGAGTGCCATACGCAAGTTGTTGTCGCGTCTAGTGAGAAACTTTCTAATTTCTGAATAATGGATATTCCTCCAGTTGTTTCAAATCCACCCATAGAAAAGAAATCTCTATTCGTTCCATCCTTGGATGAAGTTGCTAAAGGTAAGAATTTGCAGTGATTGCTCTCTGAAAGAAAGGAAAACCATAACTAAAATTCACCAATTCTTTCAGTACTTCAAGATGGGCTGAAGTCAAACTTTGCCCAAGTTGAAGTGAAGGTTGTGGATTGTCCTGATTTGACACAGAAACCCTTTACTTTGGCTTGCAAAGGTACCCAAAAGAATACACCTATATTTTTTTGTATTTCAATTTTTTTTATAGACTTGGTTTAAAACTATTATGATCTTTTGCCAGGTCTTGGTGGTAATCCAAGTGTTGTGGAAGTGGGAGGTGTTCCATACCTTCTTCCCTTGGTAAAGAGAGAAAAGTTATACGATTTCAAAGATGTTGCTCGCTGGTCAGAAATAAATCCTGCTTTTATCATTGGGGCATGTGCTGGACCATGGCCTTATGCTGGAGTAAATTGTGAGGTGAGAGATACAACTTTCAAATAAACTTTCAACTAAACTTCACATATGAGTAATAAACTTCCATATTTTTTTTCAGATGATGGCAAACTTAAGAGTGTCCGGAAATGATGTGGATAATCACACAAGAATTGCCAAAATTAATACAAATGATGATAGCTGCATCTTAGAGATTTTGCCCAATACTGAGACTAGAATTGCACTACTTGCCAACCTATTCTTAAGCGAAGGAAAACCTGGAAAAGTAATATTTACACATAATTAAAAATGAATGATAATTTGCATTTATATCAAAATACACGATGTAAAATTTCATTTCAGGTCCTCCAAGTTCATTGTAAAACAAGGACAGGCAATGATGACTTTATTGCTAGTATCAGGAAGACGCTTCAGGATCACTACAAGGAAAAGGCTGTTGGTAGGATATTTGACAAATATCACACAGTTGTCAGAATGTTTACATAATATTCAATAGTAAAATCATTAATACAACATTGAATGTTTTAGGGCTTGGTGGAACATTTGTTCTCAAAGAAGCAAAAGCTAAGCAGCATATCATGCCTGACTTTTCCACTGTACGTCTAAATTCTGACCAAGATGTGGAAAACTGGTTACACTTTTATAACCAGTCCCCTCCTCTGGTAGCAGTGGGCACTTTGGTTTCAGCAGACCCTGTAAGTCTTAAAAAATTAGCAGTTTCTTTTCAGGAATATACTGGACAACTACTGAAGGACTATGTTTCAGGGACTGGATCTTCGTGTGCAACATTTCCATAGTTTCAGCCATCATGGGGAAGGTGGCCATTATCATATAGATACAGAGCCTGCATCTGCCGATTATTTGGGCTACTTCGCTTTAGGAGAACAAGTAGTGAGAATTGATCGGCCAGTCGAGACTCATGATTTTGGAAGAGACTAACAATTTAAAGAAACATTGTACATGAGAATCGGTTTCAAAAGAGCTCATTAACTGTTGATTTTCTAGCAAATAATGAAAAAAAAAAAAAAAAAATGGGTATGGGTATACATAAAAGAATAAAACTCAAACTAGACTTTTACAAGTCAGAAAAAATTCACATTTTGAACTTTGTATTTGTAACAATATTGCTTCCGGAATAAACAATATAACACTATATTTCTGACTAATGCAGAGCACATTTCTTGTGTCGTGGTCATATCACAGTTGCCATATTCACTAACACCAAACCACAGCATTTACTCCCTTTATCATACTTTAAGATGCCAGTCTTTTTGGCTGCTATTTTCATGGTTGAATTATTTTTCTAAATGGTGCTGAATTGGCATGAAGTTTAAAATCATTCCAATGTGGAAAGAACAAATTAAAAAAAATAAGTGAATAACATAATTAGGGTAATACCGTAGATGGGAATTTCTTCAACTACACAACTTTCTGAGATGCTTCCACAATGAACACCATCTAGCTTACCAGCAATCATCAGGTTCCGTTTCAGTGCTCAGAATACACTTCCACAAACAAGTGATCAATGCCCATTGAAATAACAAAATACATCAATTTTGAAATATCAAACAATGATATTGCATGAAACCATCATAAATGTACCATACCACAGAAGATTAAACTAATTATTTGAAAACATGGAAGTTGCATATTTTGCACACAATTAATTCCAACAGATGCAAAATACACTGAACAGGCCTTCATATATCTGCTGATACACAATAAAAAAATGAAACTTGCTTTTCATATCATTAGAATTAAGAAATGCACATAATCTTAAGGTAATTGAGAAAACTTCTTGAATCATACAATACACAAAATTTAGCAATGTTACTCACATTTAACCCACAATAGCACGGATATATATTTCACTTAATACACAACAAACTCAGATCTTTCTACAAAACATTTACTTCAAGCAAATCACAAAAGCTGAGAATACCTATAATTGTATATTATATATTTATATACTTACATAAAAATACAAGCTTTAATCACAGAACTTTGTTGTCAAATTTACACAAGACTTACAGTCTTGCACATGTTATTTGCAAGATACCAGATTCATTCCTGGAAGTACTAATATAGTTAAAACATAAGTGATTGTTTCTATTTTTTGCACTGAAGGCCATCATAATCTTTCACTTTTCTGGGATCGAATAGTCATCAATACAAGTAATTTGCAAAGTGACAAATATAAATTACAAAAATATGTACTTTAATCTATCCAACATTATGTTCATTCTGAGAATACAACCAATGAAACTCTCCTTTTGGAAACGCAAGGTACTGCATAGGAAGAAGGGTATGATCCCACAATCATTTTATCTTTCCATTCCTTTCTTTTCCAGCCAATAGATGACAGCTATACATATTCTGTCAAGCTGCATACCTGAATACGAGACAAGGTGACCAGATACTACGTTTGCTATCTGTACCCATTTCTCCTAACATGTTTCTCATTCAGATAATAATTTGATGTTTCTTATACAGATGGAAATTTTTCGTATACATTCTCTGCAGGGTGATAATATTCACAGATGTGTGTGCTCAATTGGGAATCAGAACTATTGGCTAGCTTTCTACAAATATATTATATTCATTCAGCAAATTTTACATGCCATTCTAGTTGAGTGTATTTTTTTATAAAAAACTGTATTCCTCTTTCAAAATATCTAACAGGATTAAAGAATCATGAGCTAGCCAGTAATTTCTGTTCTAAACTTCAACAAACTAACACAAGCATGGCTATCTGTTCACCTTATCTTCATAACAAACGGAAAGGTATATGAGAGAACTTTTTATTAGTAATATATTGTCAATTACTCCACACATTCCTTTCAGTATTGGACATTAATGTAATTCTTTTGCAATATAACAGCTGTCATAGAGGCAAGTTAGGCGCGGAAAATGCGAAGAACTCGTACAACATATTGGCGGCAAAGTGGGCATTCATTAAGTTGTTTTCCACAAGACATACAGGTTGCCATGTGTCCACATTCCAGCATTGCACATTCAATAGGCGCATCCATACAAATCTTGCACATCTCCGAAGATCCCAGTCTTTCAAGTGCTGAAATAAAACAGAAAAAATATCTTTATTAGATTGTTCACGAGTTAATTTGGATGAATGTAAAAGCAGAGCTTGCACCTTACTGATGATTGAGTGTAAGTACACGTGTTGTACTACTTGTGAATTCTAGAAATGGTATAATCGTGTAACAATGACATTGGCTTCAACAATCCAAATGAGAGATCTTGCTTCATTACATTGAAAGGATCTAACAAGCAAAGACATTAGCTTAAAATTCAAATGGCTGAGCTTGACATATTATTTTTCCAACTGTGATACACAATATTTCAACACAAATAAAGAAAAATTGTACAAGTATCCATGTATTTGGTATTCCAAAATGTAATAATTCAATGTGTAAGGATCAAACAATAATTAACCTGTGAATACTCGTGTTGTTACCAGCTAACTTGAAATTTTTGATGATGTTGCAATATTTGAAATACTTCTGACAAATTCCTTAAGGCTTCTGAGTAATATCAATTAAATTACATTTCAAAAATGATGCATAAGCATACACTAGACATATATAGTGAAAGAGGATTAAAGCCATGCCTACAGACAATAATTAAAATTAATTAACTGTAATAATATTACATTATATTATATTACATTATATTATAATGGTCTGTTGTCATGGATGCTAATAAACAATTTAATTTGAACTTATTGATGATGATGATAATGATAATAAGCATGCCCTTCATTGTATTACAATATAATACTATACTTATACTACTGTGCAATATTTAATATTATGTAATATAATGAAAAATGAAAGTTATATGCAACACGTGAAATCTTACAATTATAATACTAAATACATTTCTAATGAATACATAAGTGCGAGAATGTAAAAGAATGTTTGTAATTGTAAGCATGTACAAAATAATTTAAGTATGTGGCTTATTAAAATAAGAATGTATATGGTAATATAAAGTACAAAAACTATGAGACTCAATGTAAAAGTTTATATTATGAAAGTAGTATACAACACACGCCTATTCGGATTAATTAAATACTAAATTAAATTAAATACTACTAAATATATTTTTCTATAGTGCGAGAATGTGAGTACATGTCATTAAGTAATTGTATTTTACTTAATAACATACATACTAGACCACATGGACTTGTCTTACATTGTTTGAAACAATTCTCTTAGTCAAAATTTGTTGTTGTTGTTGTAAAACACAGATACCAGTTTGTAGGGGTCTGTCATGGTGATCACTGATTACAGGGCACGTTTCTCTACACTGATTACACTGACTAGACTTTCACTCCAGCATGAAAACCAAGGAAGCCCCCTGCAACCAAGTATCTATGTTTATATTCTCCAAGAACAATCAAAAATGGGTTGAAATGTTGCATTGTTTAGTTTGTAACCGTTTCTGATGTTTTAATTGTTGGAGAGTAAGTTAACAATAATCATTGTATGATAATGCACCCTGTTTCCCTGAGATCTGTCACATGTTCTGGTCCTTGACTTCACTCGGATTTTTATTTTTTGATGTGGACGAGACTAGCACAAGACGCTCTCACAAGAATTTTCTATGAGCATTGAGTTAACGTCCTAGTGTTACCAACTAAGATTCTATACCACTTGACTTCATGTAATGTAAGTCAACAATACAGGCTCAAAATTCATTCCACTATTTATTTCAATACAATAATTTCATCATTACAGGGCACGTTTCTCTACAATGATTACATTGACGGACTTTCACTCCAACATGATAACAAAGGAAGCCCCCTGCAACCAAGTATCAATGTTTATATTCTCCAAGAACACTCAAAAATGGGTTGAAATGTTGCATTATTCATTTTGTAACTGTTTCTGATGTTTTAAAATGTATAACCAAAGTTAACAATTTAGACCAACCTCTATTTTGTGACCCAACCTTTAAATACATGAACCAGTTCTCCCATGTAAAATTATATCAAATTTTATAACTAAAAATTACAACTATTATTCTTACGGTTAATGAATTTTAATTATTCTTAGCATTTATGGTCTTGATACTTTAATAGTTATTTATGTCACAATTCCTCTAAATTAGTCTTTAAGGATGAAGTCTGAAGGTTAACTGCAAGGTGGAGCGATAAAGAAGCTGAGTAACCTTCCAGCCGAGTCCTTAAAGACTAATAGAGGATGTGTTACATACAATGTTTTTGGTTATTTCTAGTTTATTGCTTATTGAAAGTAAACAATTAACTTTCATGAGTTATGAATTATCATTGCTCTTGATGTTCTGTAGCAAGGGTTGTTGGTTATTTAGCAATGAGCACAGAAGGACCAAAAGGACAAAATGAGGACAATTGGGGCCAAAGCGGGGAAAGGGGTTCAAAGGGGGGCTCAACGGGACAAAATGAGACAATGGGAACAAAATGGGACAAGGGGTCAAATGAATAGAATGGGAAAGACAAAATGAGATGAGGGGGACAAAAGAGCCAAAAGAACATAATGGGACAACTGGGGCAATTGGTAAAGGGGAAATAATAGGACAAATAGGACTCTTTCCTATTACTTCTAATACTAACGTAGATAAAGGTCATTGCTTCAAATGTCATTACATTTAGTGGAAAGTTAAAAAGTTGTAACTTGAATATATCTGTACCAAATCGATTGTAAAAATTAATTTTGTTTACATTTATTCCCCAAAAATTTTGTTTTATAGCAATGACTTAGTTATCCAAAGATTTATGAACACTGGTAAATTCTACACCCAAACGTCCACTGAACTGTATATAATGGACTATCGAACATTATAATGGCTGTTGCTATGGGCATGCTCTTAATTCATTGTTTAGATGGTTAGTTGCTAAGCGCATGTTTTCAACATAAATAACAAAATACTAAGACTATGTATAAGAGTGCTCAATGCAAATGTAGAATGGTGTATGAGCGTGCCAGAGCTTGGAAAAGTGTTGGTGTAAATATAGTAATTATTAATACACATTCAACTAATTAATTGTATTATTACTTCTGCCAGCTTAATCATATTATTTTATTAACAACCTTTCGCTTCACACAGTTTTAATATATTTTATGCAAATTTATATTAGTTCAAAAATAATCGAAAACGTTTAAAACATTTGTGTGTTTTTAAGATACACTACCTAACAGCCAAGATGATGTAAAACACAATATGTGAGAAATTAACATTAAATGTCACTCTACTATTGTTAATAACTGACAGTGGTGCCACTTTTTGTTTTTCTGGTTCATTAATTTTTTTTCCTCTCGAACTATTCTAGCTATTTCAAAAAGAAAAAATAAATAAAAGGAGGGTTACCGATTTCCTTATTTTTGTTTAATTATTTGCCCGCTCTCTCACTTCCCAAAGCAAAAGATAAAATTACAATATTTGCTTCACACATGAAAACTGCTCAAAATAACACAGTATCAAGTATTAAAGGAATAATATTATTTTTTACAATTGTTTAAAAAATTTCCCAACTTCTAATGATTTTCCTTCATCATTGAAATTCCCTTATTTTTCCTGGTTTTCCAGAAAGTGGCCACCCTGTTTGAATTCAACCTTTCAATGTACTAATGGCTGGTATGAAAAAAAATAATTTCCTTTCACAAGAGCTACTTAAAAATAATACATTTATATCTGCACTTAAGTGAATTCAACATTATCTTTTGGCTCACTGATTCCTCCAAGAAAAAAAGAAAAGGAAAAAATAACCAAATGCTTTTAACCAGTGAAGAGAAATGATAAGCATGAAATTGTTATATACCTTTCTTTTGTTCTCTATTTTCAATCCATAGACGAGTTACCCTTTCTACCAGTTCAGTACGTTCACAGCATCCTCGAAAATCTACACGGTTGCGCATGAGTAGATCTTTTATCTGCTTTACAGGCATACTTTGAAGTTCTTCCAAAGTCTTGATGGTATTCAAGGTGATGATAGGAGGCTGCAAGACAATAAAGCAGAGTAGATATTGAGGGATTTTACATAAAATTATTGAAGTATTTTATTTGTATCCCACTGCTTGAGTAATGAAACTACAATATCACATTTCTGATAAAGTATTAATAAAATTAATATTTTCCACTTTTCTAACAACTTCGGTCTTTTCTCTCATAATAGTGACATTTAAAATCTTACAATACCTAAGCAAACATTGAGTAGGCTAGTAAAGCATTGTAGTTCCTAGCTCAGGGAGTGGTTTAACTACGCACACTGTTAATGGTGAAGAAATTAAGAATAATAAATACTGTATTACCTATTTAAATTTTTGGTATTTACAGAAGTTTTTCTTACACAATCATTATTTGCGAGTATCATACTTACATACTTGATATAACTATCATACTTAACTCTAACTATATATTATATCATAACTAGGGAGCAGATCTCAATGATTCTGCATATTTTTTTCATTGCTTCAGGGCAAAGCTAAGTGAATTTCTTGACATTTGGTTAGGATTGGATGTTATATGTATAAAATATGTTAGTGCATATTTGGCCAAGTATTCCTATTGGTGCGTATTTGTGTAATAATAGGCGCATATTTTGCATATATTGTTAAAGTAGAGACTTATCTCAAAAAGGTTTCGACTTTCCATACAATCTATTTATTTGTGAGCATTCATCAATTAGAAAGAGCTTGTCACAGTACGCATTTTTCTTCTTTTCTGTGGATGATAAAATACTTGTGCAAATGTAGGAAATTTCTTGATATTTTTTTTAAACCAGGAAATGCACCAAGACACAATATACTTCACAAAGGTGAATATTTACTTTAATTATTTTTCCCATGAAGTAAAATAAATTATATTATGTTTGTACAAAAATATATATTTTAACTCCATGCATGCTTCTCCTGTAAGCTCCATGCATGCTTCTCTGAAAGTGCGTATTTCAGAATCTTTAGGTCGTAACTTTTAAAGCATATTTCAAGCTTTTTAGGACATAAAAATCCTCTACCTAATTATAACTATATATTATAACACATTACGTCATATATAATAACTATATAACTATCACTCTTACATACTTGTTAATATAATGAAGTGATATTAAATAAATGCATCCCAAATGTCAATGCACAAGAAAAATGGCAACTTTAAAAAATTGCCTTTTTTTACATAAATGAAAGAAGAATGTTTAGAAAAGAGGGTATTCTTACAAGTAAATATTTCAAAACAAGGACTGAGTTGTCTTCGGCCGCCAAATTAACAGTTGAATGAATAGTTCTACACAATAACACTTTTGAAATGCGTCACTTTCCTCGTATACTGACGATGTACGGTTACATAGTGTTTTGAAAGTCAGAATTAAGCAAATCCACCGTATGGAATTTTTTGGACAAGCATTTCAACAGATTCATTTTTCCTGCACAAACACAACATATGGTAAAATATCACTCCAAAACTCAGCTTGCTTCCAGTACCTTATATCCAGCTCGCCCGAAAACTTTTGGGAATTGTCTTTCGCTGGATTCTCTTTCGATTTCCCAATTTGTTGGTGAATTGTTTTCCATAGTAAGTCTACTGTAGATTACTGCAAATTGTTAAGTACGTAATAGTGGAGATTTTCACGGCAAGCAGAAGAGTTAAACAAATCTATAATAAGGTAATATTCTTCTGGGTATTATTCCACCCATTTATTTCATGACTACTCGTAAAAGGGTATTCCCGCAATTCTTTATCTTCCTCTTTCTGCCATGTCTAGAACACGTGACTAGCAGGCCTGGGCAGGGCAGAACTGTCGCTTCTGAACCTGCAGATGCGAGTCAAGATCAGTCAATATGTTGGAAGTATAGCTGCGAACTAATGGTTAAAATACGATAATGATGTTGATCCCCATGAGTACATTCAGATCTTTCTTCATGGGAAGTTTTCCTACACCTCTTCCAACTTAAGTTTTTGTTTTGTGTAGGTACACTTCTCGAAGTGAGATGTTATTTTTTTCTCTAAAATAAAATTATATTTTTACTGTAACCTAGCTGTGTTCGGTACTGGACTATGGCAAGAGAGAGCGGGAGTCGAAGTAAGCTTTTTTAGATCTCCTGCTTCTTTTCCAAAAATTGCGAAAGTAAAATTATATCAGTGGCGTGTGGTGAATGTTTTTTTTAGGAAGCAATTACTTTTCAGATGGAAGGTTTTTAATTTTCTTACATGAATATGACAACAAATGAAAAATTTAAACTACCGTAGAAGACTGATACTCCAAACTAATTGGGGTGTGGCCTGTTCGGATTATCCGAAAAATTATGTACCGTACATATACAAATATAGCATAACCAGACAATGCAACGTAGCGTGCACTGTGAGAAAATTGCTTCCGGCAAAAGATTACCTTTGTTGCAAGTTCCTCTAACGTCGTGTGACGTACCGTTACAGATTACTGTTAAACCTGAAGTTAGAGATGGAAACATTATTTGCTTCAAAGTTTCAACGAAGCCTTGACAGATTTGCAGCAAGAGAAAATATGAACTCGAAAAAATAAATCAATACCACTGAACCGATAAGCACATGCCCATCACACGAGCACAAAGTCACGGTGTACGCATCTGGCCGATTGCTTCCAAGGTGAGCTTGACTAAAAGAGCCCGCGCGCGCCCACCAAACGCACCAGCATATGTGTTGACTATAGCATTTCCTATGAGACGCTGGATCCAGTCAGCCCAATGCTTCCAATGAGCTTTACAGGCGAACTTAACCCTATCTATTGGTGACAATACGAACAATACGAATTACGTGCTCATTTTGGAAATATAAGATTGGACGCGCCCACTTCAAACTGTTTTTTACTTGGAATACATGTAAATGATTCTAAATTATTAGACAAATGATATTTAAATGTAAGATATCCTTGGAAATGATAGGGGAAGCAATGCTTCGCTTGCTTCCATGGAATAAACGCCCCTGCATTATATCACTATCGCTACGTAAAATAAGACCAATTTAATTCAATCACCATCGGGACAATCCTTAATTCCTAAGGATGAAAGATGATCACGAAGAGGTACGAATTTGTAATTTATTATGATACGTTTTGTAGCTTTTTATCAAAAAGTAGTTAATAAGTTCATTAATATTTTTTTGTAATTAATGGGATCTTGATTAAATTGATAAGGCGCCAGTTCTTTCGGCTACTGGCCCCCAATCAACCCCCTTGATCATCATAGATCCTCTTCAAAAATGCATCAAACCCCCATCTCTGACAACTTTCACTCCATAATACAATGATTTCTTTACAAAAGGATAGTGAGACTGGTCTGAAAGAGCTAAATAATTGAGGGTAATTGGTCACGTGTTTTCCGCTGCTCCTTGACGTTCGACCACCGATGGTATTCTTCTCCTAATTGCTTTGGGGAACCATTGCCTGATTGGCCAATGTTTTCTCAATATTTGTTGATCTTCCGACCAACCGGCAGCCGAGTGGAGGGGAGCCTCATCCATTAGAGACTCGGGCGCAGTCTACATCCGCGCATTTTGCCCCGAGGAAGGTCGCAGTGAGGCGACCGAAACTTTGACAACTATACTTCAGACGCGGCGTCACGAATCTAATTACTTTCACAGAGCGTACTCAGATATAAAATTTGCACATTAACCCATTTTTTTGTTAATTTTGTACTTCTCATTTTTTGCAGAATGCAATAAGGGAATGTTTTTTTAAGCAATTCTCTTCATTATTATATGAGTTTACAACACATAACCTGCAAAGTAGTACACCAAAGAAAATCTAAAAGAGTGATGCAATGACAACTGTTAATGAAGAAATTCAATTGTCATAAACCAGCATGCCTTTCTAAAATCAGAGAAAATTGATCCTACCCTGACTGAATGAAGTTCTGTGCTAGTAGCTGCTGGCTCTGGCATTACCGTTGAAGCTGTTTCCAAGGTGTCCATTGGTAGGTCTGCTTCTCCTTCTTCTTCGGCTGATACTTCTGTGACCACTGGGTGTGGAGAAAGAGGGTGAAGAGGAGAGGAAGGAGGTGAAAACCGTGGAGTAGGAGGAGGCTGAGAATGTGGAGAAGATGTCGGAGGGACAGTAGGAGGACCACTATCAGAATGATGAGAAGGAGAGTGATCATGGGAAGGTGAAGAAGTACTAGATGACGAAACATTGGGTTCGCCCAGTGAGGTAGTTGAACTGCTTAAGGTGTTTTGTTCACCTCCAACAGAAGTGGGCGAACTGAGTGTGCCTCCTGCACTGTCAGATATTTCTTCTACAACAGGTTCTGGTCCTGTTTCATCCATTTCACCAGACCAATCCTCTGTCAATTCAACTATCTCAAATTCTTCATCTGAGTTAGCTGGAGTAGTGGCAGACCTACTGCTTGCAACTCTGGCACCCGAACTGCTGCTACTACTACTTGTAGTTGCAGTTGTGGAAGATGTGGTGACTGTTGCTCTAACACCAGCAGCAAAAGATGGAGGTGGAGGTCTGTGTAATGAAGAGTTTTGGGCAGAATTGCTTGTGCTATTGGCATTTGTTCTATTAAACTGCGGTGGAACTGGTGGACGGTCACGGAGGGGATTTGATGTATTGCTCTCACTGCCCATTGACAAGTCTGTATGGCTATTGCATATGTTTTCTTGATGTGAACCACTGTTTGTGGATCCAACATGTCTTATCAGCAAGTTCACTAGGTCATCTTTCTCTGAAAATAAGAAACAAAGAGTATTAGAACATATTTCAGGTTTTGAATTGTTTCATAACAATTTTCAAATTTGTATCTTTATCCTTTATGTTTATATTATTTGGGAGAATTAAAATATGGATTATCTACTTTAACTATTTTCCTTGAAACATTTTTGATTTTGTCTAATGATCATATTCCTTTAAACTGATTTGTACATTTCCTCAGACTCTTGAATAATCTTATTTCACTATTCTCCAATTAAAATATCTCTATACTTGTTTAGTTAGCAGGGGTACAGGTATCCAGTCATGGAACTTCAACTTCAATAGCAGTAGTGTATATGAGAGCTGAATGGGTGTGTTTCCTGAGACATCTGTATTATGAATGAACAAAAATGTTTAATATTTGCCATTAACAAATTCTATGACTTACATTACTTAATTATATAAGCAAATAATATTTATAAATCAATACTTAAAAATTATGAAAATATTTTTTAAAATAATAATTTAATCTTAAGATGCCATCTTTAAATTGCAGATGTTAATAAAAGAAGGGAAAGGAAGCTACCAACTTTTATAATATTTATTGATTATGAAAAAGAGTTGACTAATTTAATAGACAGGAACTCTAGGGCGTACTAGAAGAGGAGAAAGTTCCAAATTAGTTACTCAATGCAATACAGATTCTACAATAATTCAAGAATTAAAATACTGTTAAGAGAGGGAAAAAAGTCAGCAGCAATAACAACCAACAGTGGCTTATCACTCATCTTCAACATATATATTAACCACTTATTGAGAAACTGGAGAAAGAAAGTTACACAAGGAATACAGATTACAAAAGACAAGAAGATATATACAATCTTGTATGTTGATAACCAAACTATCGTAATGGATTCTGAAGATAATTTACTAAGAGTGTTTGAATTGACAAAAGTGGTCCAAGAATATTCCATGAAGATAGCAATTCAGAAAACAACAGTTGTGGTAATACAAAGCAAGGAACAAAGGAGAGCCAAAATAAATGGAATAAATGGAAAACAAGTGGAATAAGTAAATACATTTTCATGCCTTGGAAATACAACTGTATACAACCAAACTCAGGAAAACATAGAAAATAATTTCATAACTACAATAGAATATGTGTAACAATCAAGTCTCTTTGGCTGAGACATGGATGCCATTTTTGAAACAAAACTCACACTCCACAATGTAGCTGCTAAACCTAGAATCATGTGTGGCTCTGAAACATGGGTAATGAAAGAGAGAAACAAACAAAAACTACAGGCAGCTCACATGAGCTTTCTAAGACACCTCATGGGAATTACAAGAAGAGACAGACTAAGAAATAAAGACATCAGAAAGAAATTTAAAACCAAATGCTTAGAAAAAGAGACAAAACAGTCTCAAAGGAGATGAAAAGATCATTTACAGAGAATGAACAACATATTTCCAAAATTAATCTGGAAGTACCAACGAATACGAATCAGAGGTAGAGGGTGACCACTAAAGAGGTGGAAAGCGCAGGAGCACTTAGAAGACAAAAAAATCTACCAAGAACACTGTAATAAACCAATTGAAACAGGTTATAGAGCCTATTTTTTTGGTCAGTTCATAATAATATGATGATGAATTTTTTTAGAATTCAATATTTTACATTGAAGAACTCATAATCTGGGAGGGGTCACATCTTCCTTAAGACCATAATGGGCACATGGGAGGAAAAGGTTCTCAAGGAAAGTTTTAATTCATAGAAGTGTTCTAGCACCATGGAAGCATACAATATTATAGGAAACAAAAGTTAGATCTTTAACGTCATGTAATTCTTGATTTTAAATTTATTGAAACAAATTTTGAAAATTTAACATGTATTTGCCCATACAAAATGCAATTTCTTGTCAATGATTATAATGGTAACAATTATAATTATAATGCAAAAAATATTTTTTTGACTCTTTTAGAATAACAAAGTTGATTTGACAATGTCTGCATAATTTCAAACAATATTAATAAAACACTCACATGATCTTTACAAATAAATCATAAATGAGATTTGTGTATGGTTTTTGTGGAGTTTTTACATTCATGACATATTTTGCTGTCCAAATTTTCACAGCTAATTTTGCAATTCTTTTATTTTTGTTTTAGAACATCAGAAATGCTTGTTCTAACTAAACTCAAAATACTAAATAATTTATGTAGAAAATATGTATGTAAAAATACTTTTGAAAAATGGAACATGTAAGAGAATTTAGGAAATGTTAGGTATTGCATACAATCTCAAACTCCTAGAATGAAGAGCAACTTGTGGAGGGGAAGTAATGTGAGACTTGCTTTTGTCTGCAGAAGAAGATGAAGAAGAAGAAGATGAAGATGATGAAGAAGAAGAAGAAAAAGAAGAAGAAGAAGAATAAAATGAAACCACCCACATCCACTTATATACTATTATGTATCACTGTTTTCAGTTGAATCCTATTTTTTTCCTTCAAACAAATGGGTAAATTATTATTACATATTATTTTACTTAAATTATCCAAGAAGGTTCCATACTTGGCAACCTTGAAAAATCAGGCTTTCACTGTTGCAATAAAATCCTATTTTCTGAACACAGTAATGGGATTAACAATTAATTGATTATTATTGAATAGATTGTTTAGGGTAAAGTCTGCACCCTAATGACTTATGCAGTATATTTTTTGTTACACCATACTCTCAGATACTTAATAACTGTGATGTCAACAGAAAATTTAAGTTCTTTGAGTAAACTATATCTTCTCTAAAGATTAAAGTTTTCAATGATTCACAATGAGGTGGAAGAACCTTTATAATGATTCAAGTTTCCAAAAAATGCATTAATTGAGGCTGATAGGGGCAAAGGCACATACATGCACCAAACATCATGCCACAGTTTGGAGAAGAAAAACTTTAGGACAACTTTTGACATTCAATGTGAAATTAGATTGTTCTTTTTGGCCAATGCATTCTATTCCACTTTACAAATGTTTATTAATAAGAAAGCTCTCGTAATGCTATAAATATCTACATTTCTTTCTTTCAGACCATGAAACAAAGACTGCATTCCTTACAAAAGTGATTCCAATAATTTGAATTCATTATTTCTCATAATTATGGGACCTGAAACCAGAATTCTGATATGCACAAGAAATATGTGGATTATGGCAATATTTTTAATGAATGGTTATTCAACACTATCACCTGCAACAAAAGTTTGCTCTGTATTGTAAGTGTTAACTATTGCAACACACACTGGTGTAAAGAATCTGTAATTAAAATTAATTAAAAAAGAATTTTCATTTTTAACCAAAGAGGTGTTTAAGAATAGTTGACACAAGTTGTTTACTGGTATGAAATTGCATTGTTTGAAGCTTTATTCACTACCATCACAAAGAAAAATAATATATTAATATGCATCTTAAAAATAATCAGAAAGGTAATGACACAATTTGAAGATAAACATAATTAAAATTCCTCCTCATTGTCAGGAAAATGATCATAATATCTCTTTGAGATAAAAGACATGAAAAAATGATTCATAGTTAGCAAATCTCTAATGCTAATATTGTGAGAACAACTTTTTGAAATTTTCAGTAGTTTGGACACATTTGTAGCTTTTTTGTCACACTTTAAATTAAATTAGATTCTCATCTTTTTCTAATAAAATTCCTGTCTTCTGCATTATCAATTTCTTCATGGCACATTTATTCGTTTTCTTTGCCCTTTGACAAACTGTGAACTTTCTCTGTAATTTTAAAGGCAAAGGGTGCCAATAACAAATGGGTCAATATACAGATCAGTTATCTAACATCTCGAATCGAAAATTATGTTTACAAAGTTCAATATGGAAGCTTTCTTGTCTACTCCATGAGTTATGTTAATTTGCTCAACAAGTGATCATGAAATTTGGTACAAATACTTACAAATTCTATCAAAATACGCAAACAAGGCATTTAATGGCAAGGGAGTGATTATTTTGTGTTTCCGGGCGTTTCAACAACTTTAGCAGTTGTCCCATTCGCATAGTGCATGTTATAACTGGGCGGTAGCGGTGTTCCTTCTCCGCTGGAATGTGAGTTCCGGCGCCGACATACACGCTGGCTTGCGGGGTTTTCCTCTCCAGTTAACTCGCTAGCAGAGCACAGCCCCGGCAGAGGAAAACTCTACGCCCCAACTTGTGTGATAGTGTAGGGCCTGTAACTACGCATGTAAAGTGTGTGTGTTTAAGGAGCGAAGGGAGAAACAAGGATGAGAGAGGGGAAGATCGCCCGTTTGTTGGGATACCGTTCCCGCTCGGTGCTGATCGGAGAACCCACGGAAAACTACGATTAGAGCAGCCGGCGGCTAGAATTATTTTCCTCCATACAGCGGCTGAATCCCACCTTCTTACAAATCTACTACAGAACATTGTCGGGTTCCTGTAAGGCAGCAGTTGTTGCACTGAACCATCTCATCCGGCGCATTTAGGAAAGCATTTCTCCATACGGGTTGAAAATCCGTGCTCCAGCTGAGAACTTTGAATCGCAATCACCTTGCGAAACGCAACCCGTCTGACTTTCATGTCTTACAGGCAGCGACCCCTGCAATCGAGATGTTGCGTTCTTGTTACAATTGCTGGATCACCACAGGTAGGGAGATGCGTCTCACCTGCCAAGATTTTTTAGTTTAGGGGTGTAATGTAGGGGACTCCCTGCTAATCGGGCCTTATCTATTAAAAAATCCTTCGGAATAATTTAGTGCTAACGACTCCCACGAGTTGGATCGTCGAGGAGATAAATAAAAGGAGAATAAGAAACAAAAAAAAACATAAGGAACAGAAGAAAAAAAAATGAAAGAAAATAGTGGGGCCACAACAGTACATACTTTCTCGCATTATTTTTAACGTTTGCAATTTTCGAAAATTCAGAGAGTTGAGCGAAAATGAGATGTGCACTATTCTTTTAGGCGCCCGATTCTTCTATCTGTGGGGAAAAATGGATGCCGTTTTAGACTTTTAACAATAAAATGCATAAACTTCAAAAATATTTTACTCGTATGTATTTTAGAACCAATTTTATTAAGAAACAAATGTCATCTGTTTACACACGCTTGTAGCATTACAACCGCTCGCGCTGTCACTTCCACCCTCTGCGCGGCTGGTGGGCCGCGTCACCCTTCCTCCTTTGTCCGCTTTGAGCCGCTGCCGCAGCTAAAACCTCTACCTCTCCTTGACACCCAGCGCCGCCGGCCTGCCACCCTCACCCAGGCGTGACGCGGCGCCCTTCAAACCCCCTGTTTTGGCATGTGCGGGTTATGATCGCTCATTTGCGCCTTCCGCGAAGTGCGACCACTCCCAGCCAGCGGCTCGGCCGTGCTCGCACCGCGTGGCCCCGACCGTTGTCTCAGAGGTTTTGGGAGCCCTTCCCACGATGGCCCAGAGAGCCCCACTCCCCTCTAGGGCGCCATGGCGGCGCGCGTCCGTCCAGCGGCAGGGCTCTTCCGACGCTGCACGCCATCATTTAAAGCTGTGTTCTGCTAGCGGTGGCGCGTATGCTCTCCTGCGCTTCGCGCAACGGTAGTCCGTCGCCGAACGTCGCAAACCCGCCGCTCGTGGGAAGGTCTCCATTCAAACCAATACTCTGCTACGGTGTTTGGAAGCGCGCAGCGGTGGCTACATGGAAAGGGGCCCTTAGGGCGCCTTCCCACGTCGCCACGGCGCCGCGCTTCCTTCAAGCAGCAGAACCCTTCCGACGCCGCCACCGCCGCGCGGCTGCCCGCCGTGGAAGGGGGTGGGGTCTGCAGGGATATGTTTCGCCGACCCTCCGGCGACGACGAACAAAGGGACGCGAAACGGCCGACACAGTGGGAAAAAGTACCATTTAAAAGCTGTATTCCTGTAGCGTGGCGCGTACCCCTCTCCGCTTCGCGTGGCGAGAGTCGCGGACGCTTGCGCAGCAGCGCCGCCGCTGCACGTGGGAAGGTCTCATTCAAACCAAGCTCTGCTACGAGTCACGCTGCTCGGAAGCGTTACCGCGTCGCGACGTGGAGGGGCTTTAGAGCAGCCCCCCCGACACGCCCGCGGTAGCCACCCCCGCGGCAGGGAGGGGAGGTTTCTATATATTTGTGTGCTTGGCAGATGGCTCAGACGATAGATTGATTCAAATTCGTTAGTCATGTGAATTTATACTCTCAGGTTTACGCAATCCGTCACATCAATGTGCACGCTGCTTGTTCCACGCTGGTAGTCGGCGGATATGCCTTGCCACGCAGATATCATGCCGCAACGGCATCAACTAGGGCTGCAGGCTGCCCATATCGTTGCTAATCAGGGCTACAGGCTGCCCATCTCGCTTTTAGGTAGGGTTGCAAGCTACCAATCAGCATATGCCTTACGGCATATTTTCGCGTCACTCCCGGTGCGTCTGCCAAATTAGACCACGGCGGCACGCATTGCCTGGCCATTGTGTCCGGAGATTTGGAACATTCGCTCAGAGGTGTACTGTGACGTGCGCATCAACCTCTAAGCAGCAAGACTTAAGCGCCGGCAACAATCTGGACGAGTTAAGCGCCAATCCATAACACGTACCTATTTTTGTCTCCGAGGTGCCGAGCCAAGCAGTTCAATTAGGTTCATTCTAAGCAATGGAATCTCATTAATTGAATTAAACTGTTGTGATCATCATTAGGAAATGAACTTTTCGTCATTTTGATTATGCCACACAATTTTATAGACTGTTATTTGTAAATTACTAATTAAGTTTTAGATTTAGTTTTCCTTTATTAATAATTCACCGCTTGGGCCCGGCATGCATTTCGTATATAGTATAATACTTTTATATTTCTTTTGTTTTCCATTTTCTTTCTTAGACTGTCAGTTTTATTTTATTATTTCCAAGAGGCACTATCACTCGCTTTTTATTTTCATTTACTAAATTAACATTTAAGTCAATTTCGCTTCTTCATTTATCATTCAGCCGATCCTGTCATTTCTTCTTACGAGGTGGTCCTCCAACCCTTCATTTTTAGTAGCTCTCTGGCTCCATCGTCGAGCTACGGGAGGTCGACATGAGTGTGTGCTGCGCCCACATGGAGCCAGCAGACGAGTCCACGCCGTTGGTGCATCATCGTGCGTGCGCCGTGTAAGAGGAGCGTGCCAGGTGAGACGCGCGGTGCGCACACTCATCAATATTGAACTTTATCCCTAACATTGTAAATTAACTTTTGCAAAGTTTTTTTTATTTTCCGAAAATATATATTTTGCTGAAATTGGGTTCTGTGCCATTTTTTAGCACCCTTTACTATACTCGAGAAAAAAATTGGAATCGTCACTGAGAAAATAATTATTTAAAAATCGACTCATATTTTCAAAAAATTGTGCATGACCTTACATCTAGATTTGTCTTTAGAGAACAGATTTCACTAAAGGACAAACAATTTGGGGCAATTTTTTGATAAAATTTTGAATATGCAAAGGCTTCGTGTCCATCCAAAATCAAAATGTGGTTCCATCTCGCTGAGCCTCGTGTTCACCCAGATCGATCGGAGAATATTAATTTTGAAGAAAATCGTCTGAACTGTGTAGGCGCTGAAGTCGAGTGTCATACGTTTCGCCTTCAACCACAGAAAGTGGATTCCGACTACAAAACGTGTTAGAGGAAGCACTTTACTACACCGAAGAACAATAATTATCCACTTTCTCGATATCAAGACTTTACAAAACAAATTTTTCTATCAAAAAATCGCCCATTCATGCAGCAGCAATACAATACTTTCTCGTTACAGCGTAAGTATGAAGTAGATATGGCGAGTATTGCGATAAAGTACACAGAGGAGAAGAAAGAGAAAAATTGAATTGTATCCCAATACTGTGGGCTCTTAAGAAGCTCAGCAGGGCCATCACAACTAGTCTTCAATAAAATCAGCACGGGATCGGGGTAGGGGGATGGCTGCGTCCCTAAAACCGAAGAATTGGGATTGGTTTGAAAATTTACTAAATTTAATCACAACTACAACCTATTGATCGCATCTCATTCCGGGTCGGGTTGGGGATGCAAATAAAATGACTTTAATGTTACACTGTAAATCAGTTCTTTTTTCTAACTGACAATTGTAATAAATACTAGGGCATCTGAAAATCTGAGAAAATAGAAGAAAGACTAAGTGCCCTACGATATACTATACAGATCAATCACCCTGCCGCTTAACTGGGTTAACTCCTTTATCTAGGGGCATCCGATAAGAATCGAGTCAAGTGTACACAACACTTGCTTTTGAGACAAGCTTCCTTATCAGATGATTCAGTCTTTTAGTTATCAGTTTTAAGTTTCTCAATTGCAATCAGACTCTTCGATATTCCGCGTTCAGAAGGGCGGAGAGGCAATAGCAAGCCAATTCGCAACTTGCGACCGTACTACGTACGTAGTGCCTTTAATGCGTTCGAAAAGATCGTAATTAAAGAAGCCCAAATTATCTTCCCATTGTGTTGTCTGTCTTGTAATCCAGATACCTCTGAATATTATTTGTGATTTTTGGTACGATTTATTGTGATTTTTGTGTATTTACTTTTTGTTTATCTAGAATTCTACTCATGAGACAAAACACTCTTTAATTATCAGATTTGTTTGACCATTCTAGATGTATGTAAAATTTCAATTTAACTGTACTGTGTTCATCAACAACATGCAATTATCAGTCCTTATATTATTTTAGTACCAAAAAACCTATTTTGCCTACTCAGAAAACCTCAAATATAAACGTTTAAGGCCAAGAATCCAGCCCCTAGGCCAACAATATCGCGACATCCGTAAGAAATGCGTGAACCTCTCATCATCGATTGGCCGAGGATCAACTGCGTCTGGTGTAGAAGACAGTTACCAATTTCTCCGAGAGCTGCACTTGTGCAAGAATGAAAGAAAGAATGAATGAAAGAAAGAAAGAATGAGAGAAAGAAAGAATGAAAGAAAGAAAGAATGAAAGAAAGAAAGAAAGAAAGAAAGAAAGAAAGAAAGAAAGAAAAAGGGAAAGTACAACAGTCAAAGCACAAGTTAGCAAACGCTCGCGAATCAGCTGTACGTGTTCCTCCGCATTTCAGTTCGGCCCGAGCAAGAGTGAAACAATGGTCTTACCGACGCAGCCCCGAGTGGACACGCGCTGCGCGGTCAGGTAGTGCTGCAGGTCCTTCACTTTGAGGCGCTTCAGCTGCAGGCGGCACAGCGGCCGCGCCGTCAGCACCATGCACGTGGCGCAGATGTGGCGGCGGTCCGTCAGGCGCGCCAGCACCGAGTTGTTGCCGTTGGGCCCCAGCTGCGGAGTCAGACAGTGCGTGCAGAAGTACCGCAGGCAGATGTTGCACAGCTTCTGCAACCACAAGGTTCGCACGACACGTTAATCCACGGGGATCCTGTATCGGAGCAGCAGTGATCAAGTGCTATTTATTGAGGGTTCTGTGTTGTTGAAAACAACGTATTCCCATACAAAGAAATATTTTATTGTTTATTTATTATTTCGAGTAGTCTACTACGAGACACATCGTGTCTCGGAGACATCGCAATCAGCAGCGGCATCCCCGGGCCTTCGCCGTTCGTTACAATGATGGGATGAGTCCACTGGAAATTACTAAGGTATTTTTAAAGATACATAAAAAGGAATGAAATTCACTTAAATAATAACAATGTGGATGAAACTCGACTTCGTAACCCTTCATAACACATTTGCAAATACAGTGTTTGATTCAGAACATTGATAGATAAACCCACAGAGCATTTACTGTTTGTATGAATGCTTTTCCAAAACCTACATTTTGTCTGAATTTTAATAATAAAAATTATCAACAATAGTAAGGAAAATCAATAATTTTAACGGAAATCAGATATTATAAATCAAAAGGATGGAAGTGCCTGCATATCTTGTCACAATTTTCTCGCACTTAGACGTCAAGTTCAGTTTTAAGAGGATGTCCAGCTCCAAATTGAGCTTATTGGGGGTGGTTATTTTTAGGGCAACTGATGAAAAACAGCTGTCGTATAACTATGCTGTTCAAAGGGTAAAATAACGAAACGCCATGTAACCTTAGTTGACTTAACTTCGAGTTCTCTTATTTCTGGACGTACCCGAAAACAAAACATTTACCTGATATTTTTTGATAACGCGAGCAAACACACGACTTTATTTGTGCAATCATTAAGAGAAAAGAAAACTAATCGTCAAAATGAAGAATACAATTAACCACTCATCTACATTACTTATTTCCAATGGTCACAGAAATTGAAAGAAAACTATGTGAGAGGTGTCTATGGTTTCGTTAAGATATCCAGGAACTTCGGGGGAAATCCAAAAACAATGAACAGTTTCCATTTTGACTGAAAATGCAAATAATTGTGTTATTTCACTTACTCTCATACTGCACTCCCTACATACCACACAATTCTCATACTCAATATGTCACTACTTACGTCATGCAACATCAAGGCTCCAAGGAAGAGGCTACTGCCAATAAATATTGGCTATTCAGCTACCTTTTAGAACAGCAACGTTTTTTTATATTCTTGGCATATCAAGAAGTGTTGCACTTTGTCATTTTATTGCAGAATTCGTTAAGAGAGGTTTTGCTAAAATATTTATCTTGTTGCAGTGTTATTCGAGAGGATTTCATTTCTTGATATTGAACAGTAAACAACATGGTATTTTGTAAAACCAGTTCATGTGGTTTATTGTTCAGTAGCATTTTTTGCTGCTGTATGCCACTAGTTAAGCCCCAAAACGAGAGCAAGACTATATTTGAAAGTTGTGATCTTTGTACTTTGGTAGAATTGTAGTGTTCGTTTTATTATAAACAATCAATTATAATTTTTCAACAATTAAAATTATTTATTTCATTTCGACGTTTCACGGTAAGGTTAGCCACATCATCAGGTAGCAATGATAATATTGTTTTGCACTTCAAAATCCCATCTCCCGGATAAATCAAAATATAGGCTATATACCGTTGGAAGTTACATGAAACGTTCCTACAATTTTACCAGGGACTAATACTAATCTACAAAATAACACCTGTGGGGTTAACAGCCGACTATTATCACTTCCCAGAACGCTGATCTGTGAAATGTGTCACTAGTATGTGTGGGCCATTGTCGTTTTCACTATCATGATTATCATAAATGTTATCGTTCGGGTATTTGCATCGCGGTATAAAGAACTTCTTGTACTACGAATATAAGGATGACATATGAAGCTTCTTCGAGTGTCATGGACGTTCGGCAACATCACGTGCACACGACGACAATAGAACCGGCCGGCTCTCAGTAGTCGAAGGCCGAGCCTGTCGCCCAAGTTCTGAAGCCGGTTCCGCCAGCCGACGTGAAATACACGAATGTCTGAGAACAGTACGCTGGGCCTCGAAAAAGAAAGATAAAATACAGTTTGGAATGTTGAATTGGAAATTGCAAGCAAATCCTATTACACCTTCAGAATATACTCTACGTCACTGGGATGAGAACCAAATATTTGGGGCCAAGGAAATAAAAATGTTTTTCATACGTCTTTTGACCCTAAACGGAAGGTTGGCCACACGCTTCATTGTTCTTAAGGAATTAATCTCGAGATATCCTTGCGACAAAAGTTCTGAGAAAACTATATTTTATGGGTCCTTCACAAAAATGGACGATTGGAGAAATTGGATATATGAAGGAATAAGAATACTTGAATAAGACATTTTTACGATATAATTTCTATTAAATTACAATGTTACGTGTTTGTGTTGGTTTAATGTGCTGCAAATAAAAGGAAATTTTAAAAATCCATATTTGGACAGTTTTGGCGTATAACATACAATGCAATGTTTAACGGGAAACGCAATATCTCAGAAAATATTTGAATTTTTTAAGGCAATATATTAATCGATTATACGTTTCTGGAAATTTCTGAAGAGATCTCTGAGCTCTACTGGAAAAAGTTGAGGTGGTGCATCAACAATTAAGGTTTATTCACAAGAAGAAGCAATAATCAACGATTTTTCAAAAACCAAAACAAAACGAAAATCATTTATCTCAAATACTTTTGAAGATATAACGATTTAGCTTCAATATTGCGATTGAAAATGTCATTTGTGGGAAAGTTCATTTCAACATTTATCACCAAGAAGCGTGACCATACGCAAGAGAAAACAAAAACCTAACTTCCTCAAACCAAAAAAGAGGCTTGAAGCATTTGAAAGAAAATAACTCAGTGTATTAACAGATGAAAATTTAAAAAAAGGAAAGTTTCGTGAGTTTTTACACCTTTCTGGTGTAGAGCTCTGAAGAAAAACAGAAGATACCTCTAACATGAATGACTAATACAAATAGAAAAATGGAAATTAACAAGTTCAAATTTACAAGAAATATCACGTATTTCATCAATATCAGTGTCCATTAAAGGCAATGCCGCATTAATCTGCACGCAACGTAAGCAAGAACTCCAAGAAGGTTCTTCAGTTGTTACAGCTGAAAGTATGCTGGTTTCAACATGAAAAAATACAGAGTCGCATTTCCTTCTACTTCCCTATTTGAAGTCAGTTTCGAGGTTAGCGGGCAAACCTACACTCAACGCGACAGAAATTCTGTCGGTCAGTCAATACTTAAGCCTGCCAGTTCGAAACATCAGTGTCTGCAGACAGTTGACACTCGCATCCCTTTTGAGTAGTGCCACACAATATTTGAACTATATTTTACTCGGACGACTGACACTGGGGCATGACATGATGTTCGAAAAGAGACTGAATTGTTAGTCAGCTCTGCAAATCGTCACGTTCATTGAATGCCATCTGAACCAAGTCCTCAACAGGCAGGCCAAAGGCAGTTTATCTGGAAGTAAACACCCAAACAGACAGAGACGCCAAAGACAGACTATATCTTCGGTCTATCTGAGTGGAGTGGCAAGTAGGGATGCGTCTTTGAGAAGTGGATTCTCTATTTTCGTCATGGCCACGATGTTCACAGCCGCTACGAGTATAACAATAGTATCTGTACATAAAACGGGACTTTCTACAGCTTGAAGCGACTCTGATAACGAGGGAGGTGCATTTCTTTGTCACCATTATCGTGGAAGTCAATGTCATAGCCGCTTCAAGGGTGTCACTGACATTTCCTCGAACCATTCTCCGCGTCCAGATAAACACGGTCTTAGGCGAATAAATTTGTCACAAACTAAATTCGTTAGCTTCTTATTTTACAGCGGTCACGGGTTCGTGGTTGATCTATCCTGAACGTGCATAAACGTGCCCTGGGTAGAGTTTGTTAAATCTCTGAAGGTGAACGAGGTTACACTTAGCACGAGACGTGCAAAACCGAGCATCCGTAGGTTGATTCGTTGCTAATGATTCTGGACGCGTCAACTACTGAGGTCATTACTCCAGAAAATGTAGTGAATGTGGCGGTGATGTTCCCCCGCTGGATGGCGAGATCCGGCACCGATTCACCGACAGCTGGAAGGGTTTACCCAACCAAGTATCTCCCACAAGCGGCGCACCTCCCCATCCCCCACAAGCTCTATGGTCCCTCCCCGCATGTGGGGTACTGTAGTTCATGTTAGTGTGTGTGATGGGGAAGGAAGGAAGGAAAAGGAAGATCGCGCACGGTACGTGGCCCATTTGTTAGTGTACTGCTTCGCCCGATGATGATCGGAGAAAGCACGGAAAACTACCGATCAGAGCAGCCGGCCTCTACAATTCTCATCCAGACAGCGACTTAATTCGACCTAGCAGACAATCTAGTGTCGTAGTGTGGAAAATCCTTCTACCCTAAGACTTCCACGTCAGAGGAAGTGCAGTGACAAGTTGATGCCCTGAACCACCTCTCCCGGTGAGCATCCGAGGGGATCTTGGAGTGTCGGTTAATCGCGGGGTGCTCAAGCCCGCATGTACGGCCCCTTTAAGGATCGACGGTGACAAAATCTATGCAATCCGCTCGAATCTCTTCACTTGGGAAATTAGGGTTTTATTTGAGGGTGTTAAATTTCAATAAAACATATCTGAAATTGCATTGCGCTCAAAGAAGAAGTTGGCTGCAAAATCTGACGTATTTAATTGTACAGCACATCCCGCTTCCCAGATATATACACAGTGTTCAAAATAGCTCGAACAAGTAAAGCAAAAGGACGAAGAGAGTCCCACAATAGAAATTTATTTAGGGGCAACAAGGAGTCCGAAATAAGAAGCTCCATAGACTCAAGAAGCCATAGGTTTGGGTGCCGTCGCTGACGGTTCGACTCCAGCGAGGAAGCACGCACTGTAGACACAGGATGCTCTGATACATCGTTCTGAGATTATCAACTCCACCCCGAGGTGGGGAGCAATCTTCACTCAACGGGCCACGGACTACGCG